ATTTCAGATCAGTGCCCAGATCAGTCAGGAATATTATATCAGAGCAGCTAATCAAAGCTCGCGCTAGCTCCTGAACGATGGTGTCTTTGGGGATTTCATGATTGCCTACAAGGCGAGAAGGGGACAGCCTGGCCTTCAGCTTTACCTGATTAATATTACTAACAGTGTTTTAATGCCCTTGACTCTGATCAATGGGCGCACCCTCTTGTGCATGAAATTTCAAGTAAGGTACTGTGATTTGTTCTTCTCTAAGCAGACGCTCACAGTTAAACACGCACACCAAAGCCCACTCTTCCTCTCACCACCTCTCTTCAGAATGTTCTCTTTCCCCCTTTCCCTGATTGCCTGATACAAGTGAAGCTTTTTTCCTCCTTTTGGGCTGTTTTATAATGTGGTGATTAGTGTGAGAGTATGTGTGTGTGTATATGTGTGTTTAATCAGGCTCAGGTTTGATGTGTTGTCTCTGTATTTAATCACCGCCGCTAAGCACACAGGTTTGATGTGGACGAGGCCAGTTAATAAAGCAGTATCTCCTCTTCCTTCATCAGCTCAGCCACTTTGTTCTGCCTGTTCGAGTGGCAGTTAGGACTCAAAAGTCGTGTGTGTGTGTGTATGTGTGTGGGTTGGGTGTGCATGAGTGTGAGAATGTCTCTCAATGCTCTAGTTATCTCATTCTTCATTCTCTACCTTGTACTGAATTGTTCATCACATCAGTGTTAGTCCATAGTAAAGGAGTAATGATACATATGTTTTCAGATTCAGTCCGATTTTTGATGTTAGGGTCCAGATTTGATTTGGTGTATGATATTTTGTGTTAAATGTAAAAATAAAAATATCCTGATTCAGCACAACTCTAATTATATATTAAACATGGCTTAAAAAAATGCATTTCTTTTCACAAAACAAAGACAAATCATGTCTTTGTGCAAAAAAGTGATCTTATAAAACAATGCAAATGAGCTGTAAACAATAGATGGGACAAGTGCTTTCCATGAGAGACTCAGGAAAGACACAGAGGAACATTATAGTTTTAAATGTTGAATACATTTTAAAATTATTTTTTTTTGGTACGGTTTTGACATCATTACCATCTCACATTGGCAGAACATTGCTCTTACTAACAGTACTCTTAGTGCAGGGTTGTACTGGTAAAATTCAACATCACAACATTCGGTAATGCTTCACACAGACTATGTGTACTTTAAATATTCATTGCATATTCATGAACAGTACAGCAACACTCCATTACAGTTACATAATCACTTTGAAACATTAATTAAATACATTTATTAATGAGTAACAGACAAATAATATAATGGATTGAAAACATACTCTGTGATGCTTGTGTTCATGAGTAAATCAAAACCTGTTCAGGGAATAAACAGCCTACCCTGCACATTGTAAACCTTCTCAAGAGAGATCCAAATTATAGTAATTATTGTTAATTAATTATTTGTTGCTTTATACACAATGTATGCAAATTACAATATAGTGCTTGTTCATGAAGTATTCCTGTAGCATTCATGTACAGTGTTACAGTATAGTTTCTCTGGTTCCGTGCTGCTAGGTGAAGGCCTTTTGTTCTGCAGCAATGGTGCATTGATCTAACAGTGCTTTGGTGAAATCTTACTGAAGGTAGGAGGCTAATGGCTCAGTGTCCAGCTGGAAATGTTACATTATTGAGCTCACATTGTGAGCTTGATTCAGTAATAAACTGCAAGCCAGTGAACTGCAAGAGGTTCATGTAATGAATGTTATTCACTTGTACTATCAATTGTGAATATTTTTGAATGTTATTAAGTGATCAGTAATGAATGTGAATATGGATATCTTTTGAATATCATGTGCTTGGATTTGTATTTGTTCCCTGAAAAGGAGGAATGTGTATTTTAATGTATACATTATCACATCACTACTGAGTGTATTTTCAGTTCATTAGTTTCTACACTCATTACTAAATAGCAAGTTCATTTAATGAATGTTTCAAAAAAGTTATGTAATCGTAATGGATTGTTACTGTCGTGTTAATGAATATGCCATGGGTGCTTCATGTACATGTAGTTTGGGTAAAGTGTTGCCAAGTGTTTTCTGAATATATCACTGATACTGGTATCCCACTGATATGCTTTCTTGCTGTCTTGCTACTCATTTCTAATAAAATATTTTACAAACAAGTTTTGATTGGACCATCTTGTTCTTTTTTGCTTCTTTTAAAATGATACCAAAGGGAATCTTACATGGTATTGTAAATTTTCCAAGAAAGGAAGGTATTTATTTAGTTTGTATGCATTGTGAACAGTTTATTCCAATTTAAAGCACACAGGAAACATTTTTATCTATTAATACTGCTAAAACTGAAAATAATTGCTGCAGTGAGACACCAATACCTGCATACCAGAATACACAATGTATCGCCCAGTTCTGTGTATGCTTGCTAGAAGAAATACCATTCAGCCTGTATGTGGAAGACAGTAAATCAGTTTACCAACAAAATAAATGACTACCATGTACACGTGCTTGAACCACTCATCATTTCTAGTAACTAGTGGTGCTTATTGCCATTTTGCAAGGCGAAAGCATTTGTGTCATTTTTCCCAGAATTGATAACAGTGCATGAATAGCCCTGGTGGAATTGCTTTGAGATGACTGAATATCACTTTTTGTCCCTGGGACCAATTCTCCTTGGTTTTAATTGACCACAAACAAATTACACTTGGTGGTGAACGCATGCAGTAATATCCTTTCCTCCAGCCTGCTGAGAGAGATATGGACTGGCCTGCTCATGAAAGGAAAGAAAGAGAAGAGAGCAGAAACTTTTTCTGCACCATTTGATGTCTGAAAGCAGTGATGCAGCGATTGATTCATTTAACCAGAGCAGTAATGGGAAAGAAAATCATAATTCAAACTTACATTTAAACATGTAATATAATTGGACTTTTTAAACAGAGAAGCCCCTTTGTACAATTATGATTAAAGGAAAATTAATTGTATGAAAATGTCTTCGCAGATATAGAAAATTAGATCGACCGAGGCTCAGGCTACATTCTAAAAATATTGCATATGGGATCGATCTTTTTTACTTTCCCTCTTTCTCTCCTCATTATTAAGGTCCAAATCTAACTGTGTTAATTTTATCTGAAATTACAGTGAACCATGCAGGCGTGGAAGTCGAAATTAGCCTAAAGATGTTTCATTTACAAAGACAGAAACACTTTGTCAGGGAGCGATTGTTTCGAAGCATTATCTCCACCACGTTTTAATTGCTTTGGAAGTGAAATTAACAGAATTAGAAAAATTGCCTTTGCCTTTTTCTACAAGGCTCTTTATTCACGGGTATTGTTGTGTGCTTTGTATAGATTATAGGCCTCTTTGTTCTAGGAGTGTAAATATATACGCCTCCAGTCACGGCTTTAGCTCTGAACAATCCCCTCCCCGTTCGCTGCAATGAAAATTAATTTACAAACACTGTCAAAATTTAGATTTTTCTTTCTAAGCCACAGCCATTTCCCAAAGATGCAGTTGTGTGGAACACTGGGAGCCTCCGTTGCCCCTAATGCACTAAGAATGCAGTTTTTTTTCTTATTTATGGACTGATTTCTCTTCTTCGCCATGCGCAGCCGCTTAGATCTTAATCCTCATTGGAATAATAGCCGTGGCTGAGGGATGAATTAACATGCAGACTGTCAAGGTACCCACTCGGGAGTAATGCATTCGTCCAGTGAGCCGCTGGCTCATGCATTGCATTAGAATGGCGAAGAATAGGCTTGATTTGCACAGTAACTTTTTTTTCTCCTTAGGAACTGGTTATTATTGTAGTAATGATGAGCTTTTCTTGCATCTTTTATTGTAAAATTGTAAAAGAACTATACAAAGCAAGTTATTCCGTTTGTTAAAGAATGTGTTTTAATGTCATTTTCGCAATGTAGTTTAATCACTCTTTTTATCTTTACCTTTTTATTAACTACCATATCATGTTAACTGTCTTACTGTTATGTCATATTTGTATTGTAGATTTTAAACAGTTAGGATGAAACTATACAGAGGAAAATGAAAGTCCTTATTTTTTATTATTATTCGGATTACTGTTGATGATATTTTTAAAAATCTTAAAATAGTAACATTGGGATACAGTGTTATTCTTATATGGCCAGCTGAGATTATATTAGTTACTGTTATAGGTGTGAATTAATCATTTCTAGCATGTGATACAACATATACATCCACTTAGCTTGTGTTCAAAAGCTTTTGGGATTTCCATCCAATTAAATCAGCAAAAAAAGCACTTTAAGGGAATTAGGGGTTGGACTTTAATCAGGGTTTTCCTCCTATAATCATGCACTTTATAATCTTATATTTATAGTATACCCTCAATCCTTTATAATCATTAATGCAGGCTATCCACATAACTTAAATCCCTCTTAGCGCACAGACTAGGATCTTACGTTAGCATGATATGCTTTTATCCTTATGGTTTTAAGTGCTGACTTTAGTTATTTAGGGTTCCTCTCATCTAGGCATAATTTAGCTTTTTCTATTTTCTTATATTTTTTCTTATATTTTAATTGTAAAGGTAATGTTACTTTGTTGGTTTTCTAAGTGAAAATACATTCTATACAGGGAACAAACCTACATATTTTTTGCAGATTTCGGTGCACAATTTCTTTTTTCTTTCTTTTTTTTTAATTTTTAACATAGTGGAAAAAGAATAAAACATATAGTATAGTATAGTATGTTGTATGTTTTGCAGTTTTGCTTTTTCGATACAACGTGTAATTGAACCGAGGGCATCCAAACTTTTTCCATATGATTGTATTATGAAACTAATATGCAAGTTATGTTGTAGTTATGAAAGTGGGCAATTGTAGTATGAGCCCACTTATAGGCCCTTGCAGTTTTAAGGGGTCTAAGTCTAAAACTAGGCTTAATTCAGTAGCCCCATCAGGAAATCAGGTAATAGATTTACATTCTCTGTCTTTTTCTCTCTCCCTCTCTCTCTGAAGGTTCTATTGGAGATCTTGACGGAGGTGAGGAGAATCCACCTGATGATGTCAGTCTCTCAGGAGAGGAGGGTGGAGTGTCAGATCAGGACGACTCAGCGGAGTGTGATGGCTCCAGTCCCTCCTTTGCACCTCTTTATAATGAAGGTAAAATACACATTATGACATCAAGCAAGCTTACCATCATCATCATAGTGAAGAAATAGCTGATACTCACTGACAGTAATCAGTGTTGTTCTCCTTCAGCTTTATTAAACCTGTCCATGTGAAGACTGCATGTCTTTGTCTCAGATATATCTGAGGCTGTACTTTCTAGACATAAGCATGTATGTATGCAAGACCTTTCAGTATATCATTGCAAACAGAATCATGCTAGCAGACTGTTTTTATTTACACAAAAAAGTGATGCATTACATTTATTTGATTCAAATGTTTGCATATATTCCACATATCATCTCTGTTGAAACAAAACTTTGCATCTCAAAACAAGTAACTTTACAGGAGAATAAAAAAATTGTCAGTTAATGTAACAATTTTAATTCATGATTTTATTTATTATGCACCATTTCTATTTGCTTTTTTATCATTAAATTTTGACAAAATGTAAACCACTGCTGGCATGCTCAAGTTATACAAAGAAAAATGACAAAAATAGAGAAAAAAGGTTTTGTTCCGACAGCAACAGTATGTTACTTTAACACAATTTTTGCCAAAAGTTTATTTTTCTTTTTTTACTTTCACTTTCTACACAAAGGGGTTCCTACACACATAGCTGTAGTGTCTATGTGATCAGTACACAATAAAACAACACCTAGTGAGACAAGACAAATATAAAATAAACAGGACAGGGTAGACAGTAACAGCAGGTTGCGTAACCAAGATCTTCTGACATCTATTTAAGTAGACAATGTTATAAGTTATCTTTAAGGTTTTTGTTGTTAAGAGGACGGTCCATCAAGAAGAGGGACCAGGTGTCTTGGTACAGTACGCTGTGTTTGCCCCTGAAAGTCACTACAGATTTTTCGAGTGATGCATGTTTTGTTAAGAAGTGGAGTCATTCCAGTTATAGATATTACTTTTTTAGTTATTGTTGATGATATTATTACAAATGGTTGAAACTGTTGGGGTTTTTGAAATACAGAGATACAATCAGTGAGCACTTTATTAGGAACACCTGTACACTTTGATATTGATACAGTTATCTAACCAGCCAATTATGTGGCAGCAGTGCAGTGCATAAAATTATGCAGATACAGGCCAGCAGCTTCAAGTAATGTTTACATCAACCATCAGAATGGGGAAAAAATATGATCTGAGTGATTTTGACTGTGGCGTGATTGTTTGATGTGCTGTCAGAAAGGCACAAATGAGTTTAGCCATTCTCCGTTGACCTTTGAGCAGAAAAGCACCTCAGAATTCCCAACACATTGAACCTTGAGGTGGAGGGGCTACAACAGCAGAAGACCACATCGGGTTCCACTTCGGTCAGCCAAGAACAGAAAGCTGTGGCTGCAGTAGGCAAGGCTCACCAAAACTGGACAGATGAAGACTGGAAAAACGTGACCTGGTCTGACGAATCTAAATTTCTGCTGTGGCACACAAATGGTAGGGTCAGAATTTGGTGGCAACAGCATGAATCCATGGACCCAAACACCACCTCCACCGGCCAGGACTGTTGACCCTTGCGTCAACAGTCCAGGCTGGTGGATGTGGTGTAATGATGTGGGAAATGTTTTCTTGGCACACTTAGGGCCCGTTAATACCAATCAATCATTGCTTGAATGCCACATCCTATTTGAGTGTGGTTGCTGACCACGTGCATCCCTGCATGGCCACAGTTTGCCCATCTTCTAATGGATATTTCAGCTTGATAATGCAGCAGGTCACAAAGCAAAAGTCATCTCAAACTGATTTCATGAACATGACAGTGAGTTCAGTGTTCTTCAGTGGCCTTTCCAGTCACCAGATCTGAATCCTTTGGGATGTGGTAGAGCAGAAAATTTGCAGCATGAAAGTGCACCTGACAAACTGCTGAAATTGCATGATGCAATCATATCAACATGGACCAGAATGTCAAAGGAATGTTTCCTATATCTTGTGGAATCCACACAGTGAAGAATTAAAACTCATTGGGGTCCCAGCACAACATGCTTTAGAGAGCTAGTAAAATCTAAATGACAACAGGGGATTTGTTTCTATACTTGTTACCTTTTTCATTGCTCATGAGTTTTCATATCTGTGAATTAAGGCAGTTCAGTGCATTACTTTTTTTGCTTGGTAATGTAAACAATTTGAAGCTGCTAGTATCATTTAGTTTAAAAATTAGGCTTTGTCTTGTAGATTTGTGCATAAAATTCAAATCTAATATTTAACTAGTTTGTTAATATGTCATTTTTATACTCTCGGTCTGGGGCAGTTAATAAAAAAGTAAAAGATATGAAGATAAAGTGTACAAAATGACATACTGTGCAGTGTATTATGGAAGCTATTTAACTTCAGTTGTGTTTCCACAAGAAACAAGAAGGTTTTTGAGCAACAAAAGTCAGTTGCAAGATACAACCTTGAGTACAGTAAGAAACAGTATATGGTAGAATATGGTTCATTCCTGTTTGAATTGCTTTTTAAATGACAGTCTGAGTTTGAATGTAAGGGCCGGGTACTCTGTGTGGATCCCATTTGTCTGTATTCACCTTTTTTCTCTGTTTTTCTAGCCTTAGTTCAGGCAATGCATTCTAAGTTAGAATTCTGTTTTTCTTTTCTTGATCTGGAAAATTCCTGTTCTTGTGAAATTTGGGGCTGCACTGATAAGAGCCTGTTCGTTGACTGGCTCTGATAAATGCATGGAAACTCTGTCAGGTGCTAATCAGGACTAGATTAGAGATGATCCTCATTTGTGCATAAATGCAAAAGTGATGCAGTCACCGTGAGAGCGCCTCATACATTTACATTATGTTTATTTGTGTCAGAAGAAAGCTTCAAAATAGATCACTGTATCTTTTCTGTGAACGTCTATGATTGATTCTTGTCGGTGTCCTCTATAGCTTTATGAAGAAAAGAGCCACGTCACCATATTGTGCATATCTCTCTCTCTCTCTGTCTCTCTCTCTCACACCCTCTCTCACTCTCTCGGCCTCTCGCTCTCTTGCTCTCTCTGGGACTCTCTGTTGCTCGGTGCTGCTATTATCAGGCTTCTGTAAATCAGCCGTGTTTGACGAACCTGCTCTTTCAACCTGCGATCAATACCAGGTCTTTATCAGGCCAGCACTGGCTAATAAAGGCCAGCTTCCTTATCCACCATCTGGGAGAGAAAGACACAGGCGATAACCACCTGATAACCGCTTCAGAAAAACACTCGACCAGTCACAGGATACACAGTGCTGCTCAGACCCCCCTGACAAACCACCTGTATCACATATACTTCATATCATTGCTGTGCAAAGAAAAACAAGTATCTCAAAAATAGTAACTGTACACAAGAAGGCAGAAACATTCTTTACTTCAGTGTAAGTTAATGGCGCATTTGATTTGGAGCATTTCTATTGGTCCATTCATCATGAAACTTTCATACAATCTGAAGGACAACTGCTGTGTTCAAATGATGTAGAAACACAAAAATCGACAAAATTGACATGTTTTTCTTTGGACCGCAGAAATGAGGATGATGTCTCTGACTGGTTGCAGATCAGTAGAACTCTAATGTAAACTTGTCCATCATATCAAGATTTAAAAGTTTGTTTAGATTATGTACAGGTACAACAGAATGTTTACATGCCTGTAGAATTCTTATTCTTGCAAACAGTCAGTACAGTTTACAGCTAGTGTAATAATAGTGTAATGACTCTGTAATTGTACATGTAGTCTATATTCCTATATGAAAGGGAAAAAGTCAACTGTGTTGCAGAAGCCATTTTTGAAAAATTCACTCTGTTTAGTCTGTGATCAGTGGCTCTCTGTTCAAAGCACAGTCTTATGTGTACCATATCTATTATATGATATATATAAGTGCCTATATGTAATAAGATTGGTCTAAGACCTAGCCCTAATCTTAATCTCAGTAACAAAAAAATTAAATGTACAGTCCTGGTCAAAAGTCAGAGACAACCCCTATTTTGTTACCAGTCAAAAATGTCCATTATATACAAGTTATTTATTCTTCAGGAGATATTTCAGTGAAGATTTGATATAAGATAATCCACTTGCATAAAGAAAGAGAAAGCCAAAGGAAAATAGCAAAAATAAGGGAGTTTTTAAAAACATATAGAGAAAATGGCAGTCCTAGCAACTGTGTAAAACCTGGTAGACCACCAGAACTCACCATCAGATAAGCAGTACTAAAAGCTTTCATCTTTGAGCGATAGGATAAAATCAAGCTCCACTCTTGCTTCAGGTCTGAAAAAATCCACAGGTGTTTCTGTCCATCCTTCCACTGAGAAGACTGTGAGAAGACATCTCAGTACTATGAGTTTGAAAGGATGCGTAGTTGTCAAGAAGTGGTCACTGAGAAAAGGAAATGCCTAAAGTGGACGAAAATTCGCAAATCAAGCGGTCGCTTAGAACAGTGGACTGACCACCCCAGAACCCAGACCTCATTGAATGTGTTTGGGATTACTTGAATCATGAGAAGCAGAAAATGCAACCAACTTCCAAGCTTTAAATGTGTGAAAAAATTTCCTTTTTTTCCTAAAAAGAATGGAAGCTGTAATAAAGGCAAATGGTGGATACACTAAATACTGAAAGATGTATTTTGTTGTTCAGGCCTCTGTGTACTTTCTGTATAAGTTTCCTACTTTCTTTCATGATGCTAAGAAATGAATAATGGAATGGAAATGGAAATCAAATAAATACATACTGTAGCTTTTATAAAGAGAAAAGTGAAAAGTCTAAATCATTTTGTTGATCTTGAAAGGGAAGGTTACCCATGTTTTGTCTGGTTTTCCATCACATGTCTTGAAAAAATGCACATACACATGCACTTGCACCATATGTGCTCCCATGAGAGGAGCTTGACCCTCTGCTCTAGTAGTGTGTGTAAAGTATTTCAGCAGTAAGTGAAAAGAAAGCAGCTTTATGAGCAATGAGTGAAAATTGAGGCTGGTGAGTCGTACTGAAGCTAGTTGGGTGACTTTGCCCTCCAGGTGTGACAGAGGAAGTTGCTCTTATCAGATGAAGATATGTTGTTTGGCTGTGGCCCTGTCTGTGTGTGTGTGTGTGTGTGTGTGTGTGTGTGTGCGTGTGCATGTGCGTGTGTGTAACTGTGTGTTGTCGGGGGGCAGAACAGGTTGAGGAGCAAGACTGGTGCCAGGAAAGCCCCACCACCCCACCCCTTTCCCGATACCTGCCGTCTCTGCTCCGATGATATGGGAGATAATATTGATAATATTAAATGCAATAACTGTGGCTCCAGCTCCACTACCCCAGCTGAGCGCTGCAGGATAAAATCAATGTGCCATTCAACGTGATTTATAGCTGAAAATAATAGGACTGTTTAGACTGGGAGGGGGTGGGGGACGCATCAGAAGGGCGCCTTTCGCTGGGACAGGGACAGAGTATATGTGTATGTGTGTGTTACAGAGGTGTTTAGGTGGACATGATGGTCCCTGAGAGAATGTGTGTGTGTGTGTGTGTGTGTTGTGTGTGTGTGTGTGAGGTTTATTTGACGATGCAGATCTAATCTCCAGACTGTTACATTAATAATAGCTGGCCTGACTGCGTCACGAAGGCTGACGTTTATGGCCTGTATCGATCGGCAGCTATCGCCGTTTTATCGCTGTGGGAATGCGAGGGTAAACACGGCCTTTGTGCGTCTGGATAAGCTGTTTTTGGGGTGGGGTGGCTGGGTGGGGGGCATGGTGAAAGGGAAAAAGGTAGAAGTGCATCAAAATTTAAAAAGCATCACAATGCATCGATCTAAAGGTGGTGATTCACCTACATTGATTTTGCAATGTTAGATCTGATTATAATCAAATATAGTCAAGTCAAGCCACTGTTAATTACATAGCATATTTAAAGACAACTGTCAGCCATTGTGCTGTACAATAAAGAGATATAGGAAAAAAAAACACTGATTTCAAACAAAAATGAAACAGAAATGAGAATTAAACTAATTAAATAGATGTTATAAAACATTGACTCATTTTTAATTTGTGAATGATTGAATCATTTCCTAAAGAATCATGATCTAGTCAAACTGTGGGTTTAGAGACTTGTAACTCAAAAAAGATGATAAGAGAGAGGGAAAAAAGAGAGATGGATGCCTCTGGCATGGCTCAGAAGAGTGAGTATCAGTTTTCTCAGTGTTGGTACACTGATGTGCAGTGTGTGTGTGGGGGGGCAGAGACAAAGAGAGCCAGAGAGTCATATCAGCAAGGTGATCATTTTGTTCAGAGGGACTTGCTAATCACCTTCATCAATGAGTGAGAGATGCACTATGGCTCTCACGCTGATGACAAGAATTTGCCTTAATGAAAGGCACACTCTTACGGCCTGTTAAGAGGCCTTTCTTCAGCTTTTTCGCTCGGTAAATCAAAAGAGCCTGCGTGTGTGTGGGGGTGTTGAGTTACTGCCGTATGAAGACTTCTCTTTCATCTGCCTTTGATCATCAGACGAGAGCTACCACACACGTAAAGAACCTCTGTGTAGTCGGGGGGGGGTAGTAGGATCATGTCTGTAGGCACATATACACACATATACTCTTATAACACTAATTGTAAATGAATTCGGAGATTTCCTCTCGGACGGCTTCAAATCTATAATTTACTCAGGCGTACTATAACTTAGTTATAAAACTGGCAGTTCCAGGTCCTAAAATCTGATTGGCTGAGTCGTTTTTAGAGTCATTGTAAAATACTTGATAAATGCACACATATGGCCACCTTGTAATAATTAAATTCTGTATTATTACACCAGGCCACTGGACAACCAAGATTGTTGATGGATAAAGTAAAAATGCAGTTTTGTTTAAACTGAGGGGCTGACAACCTATCACAACTAGGCTAAAAATAGGCTAAACTGCTCATCCTTTAATATTCAGTGGTAGGCCTTTTATAGCATATTGTTCTCATATCTGTAATATTTAATTTCCTTTGGTCCATATGATTTTTGAGCTTTTTTCTGAAGATTTTTTTTTTATTTCCTTATTGATCAAACCTAACATGGCTAAAACGTAAAATCATTATGATATTAAATTTAATTGTCCAGTCTTTTGGCTACATAGGACAGTAAATTGCAAAATCCTTGTTCGTTTTGCGAATAAAAAATATGAAAATTTCATCACTTTAGAGCAATCAAAACAAGTTCTATGGCATTTTTCCTTAAATCTAGTTGTTGAACATGAAAGGGTTAAACATAACACATATTATTCAGTAACTATTATAAGACTAGTATATAGTTTATGTACTTACGTGAAAACTGAGGAATTGATAGATAGGCTTGCATATTGGCCCTTTGGGTTTAAGGGGATAAACTTGTCTCCCCGTTCTTGACTAACCATGCTAATGTGGCTAAGAGTGAATCGAAACCTTTAACCACCAGTTAGGATGATATGATTTTCATGGTGGTCATTCATCATTTGTTGCTGTTGTATTTTTTTGACAGAACTTTTCCTTTCAACTCCTCTTCCTCTGTTTCTAACAGAACCGACAACACACAAGTCTCCAGGCACGCCAGACACTGGTGAGGAAGATGAGAAGGGGCGGAAGCGCAGCAGTGAGGAAGAAGAGCAGATGGAAGAGGACGAGGAAGTGGAGCCAAACTGGAATGGGCCAGGTCAGTGTCGCCACCGGTTTACTTAAACCTGTCTCTGTTTTATGGCCTGGTGAATGATGAGTGACTCACACTGTACAGTATCCTTAGAAAGGTCCTGCTGTAGTCATAGACAAGGAGTCATAAAGTAATCCCTCCTTTTTCAGTGTGTTTATTATTTTCTAAATAATGTGAAACTTTATGGCGTACAGCACTGTGCAAAAGACAGAGACCACCATTTATTTATTTAGATTTTAGTCACTGAGATTTTCATTCAGTTTATTCAATTTTTTAACATCAGGGGAGAAAAACATTCATGTAAAGGAAAATTACACAGAACAACTAAATATAATGTTTCAGTATTTAATGTGTCCACGCTTTGCCTTTATTACAGATTCCATTCTTTCAGGAGACTTTCAGTATTAAAAAAAAATCTGCAGGGATATTTTTCCACACCTCCAAAGTTCAGTCTGGTTGCATTTTCTGCTTCTCACAGAAGTGAGATTTTCTTGGGGTTTTTGTGTGCTTGTGTATTTTCTTTTCTAAGTACTGGCTTCTTGAGAGATACGCATCCTTAATACAAAGAGCACTGAGTTGTCTTCTCACCGTGGAAGGATGGACAGAAACAGAACGGAGCTTGATTTTGTCCTCTCTCTCAAAGATGAAAGCTTTAAGTACTGTTTTTCTGATGGTGACAGTTTGGGTGGTTTTATTTCTAATCTCCTTAGAAATATATATTGATAAATGAATAACTTGTACTGAATGGCTGTTTTGCTGGCCGTTTGACATTAAATAAATGAAGAGTGATCTCTGACCTTTGCACAGTACTCTGCTTTGTTTTACCTTATAATCATGTTAACTATTAGAACCAGTAGGCAAAACAAGTAAAAGTAATATTTAACGCTATTTTATTTTGGTATGTCTCAGACACGTCAAGTTTAAAAAAATTTAAGCATCATTTTAGGCAGGAAAACTTAAGTATGTGTTATCTGTAATTTGCAGTTTGCATTTTAAACACAAATGACTGCAATGAGAGAAAACTATATACAGGCTTAACTGTCCAGTGTGTAACAGAATGATTGTGTCAAATGACTCAGCATAACCCACAAGATTACAGTTCATGAAATCATTTCATTTTCTAATAGACTGAGTAAGAAATAGAGATGGGAGTTGTATCCCTCTAAACAACATGCACTTGATTCAGAGCAAGATAACTTAGGCAAACAGAATATCATCATAAAGGCATGGTCCAAATGCCCCTGATTGCTTTGTTGTCCCTTCTGCCCTGAGTTTAAATTCCCTTTCAGCCTCTAATGGTGATTGGGCCTACATGGAAATCATACTGTTAGCATATGCATGTGTGTTCAGCTTCAAAACAGGATTCCCCTGTGTGTTTAAGATTGACATTGTTGTTGTTTTCAGTGTGAGCCCTGTCAAACACAGTTTTGTATGAAGACGGCCTGGTTAGGATTGTCTGAATAATTCAGAGAATTTGATTTCATCAACAAAGAAGAGATTAGACCCTTTTATATGTGATGGTTACTTATACATAATTATCAATGACTGCATATTTTTTGGTAAGTTTGGCTGTGAAATTGTTAAGTTTCATTTTGTTCTATTTTTTAAATCTTTCTTTAGAATGTGTGTGCGTATGTGTATGTTTAATTCTTCAAATTGAGGATGTGTTTATTATCACAGTGTCCCAGCCTGTCCTTTTAACAGTAATTGGAACGATATTAATTGCTGTGTGGTTGCTGCTTGATGGCAGTGCTGGTGATGGGAGTGAGATAGGCTTTTTTTTTTCCCTCCTCACAAACTTACTGCCGAGAGAGAGGGAGAGGGAGAGAGAGAGAGTGAGGGAGAGGGAGAGAGAGGGGGAGCAGGAGAGAGATAGCCCTTCTATCACTACTGGAGCAGACGCTGCCTTTATCAGGAGCACGATTGGCAAAAGGGAAACTTTGACCGGTCTGAATTTTTCTCTTATCGTCACGACCCAACCCCCCCCTCACTTCCAAGCCCCCTCAACACCAGTCTCTCCATCACCAACATCCCCCCACCCCCATGCAGGCATACACTCTTTCCTTCTTGTTTTTTCTGTTTTCCTGAATGTCAGGCAGTGGACGCGCGCTTGTTCATACACTGCTTTGCTCTCTATCAGCCTTTTCCCACAACATTCAGGCGCGTGGAAAAGTGCGTTATCGACCCACGCTAGCCCTCCCCTCATCTCTCACTGTCATTTCGAGGTGTTCTGGTTTTGAGACCCGCATAGGAAAGATCTGGTCTGATCCAATGAGGTCACTTCCTGCTGGACCACAGCTTCGCCTGACCTCCAAAGCCAAGCAATGTGAGTGCAGGTCCAGTGCCAGTGCAGCCCTCCTTTATAGCCTTACATTGTCTTACTATTTCCTGCCATTCCTTCCTTTGCTCTTCTTTTTTTTGTCATATTTTGCCTCATTTGTGAGGCATATCCGTTCTTTCTCAGTTTTCATGCGTTCTGTCGCTCTCCTCCCTCATTTAACCCCACATGACTCCCTCCCTTTACTGCCCTTGCTCTCTAAAGACGTTTGTCCGGGCTGTTTGAGGCAGGTGTTTGTCCTTGATTTCACTCTTTATTTCTTCTGTTGATAATCATGACAGTTATGTCTTTGTAGAAGATACAGTGCTGACCAAAACCACTGCAGATGTTTTGGTTTTTAAAATGTAGTCTTGTCTGTAGAGATACTAGTGGAGTTAATTTTAACTGTTTAATTGTTTTAGGTAATTCTTCTGTTATTAACGAATTTGAATATAAAGCTTCTAACAACAGTTGAGGTGGTTTGTGTAAGACAAGTTCGTCCAAAAACATCAACTTACAATTACAGCTATTATAGATTTGTGATTAGATGTGTGTTACAGAGAGTTTACTTATAAGGAGAATAATTATTTTCACTTTTATTTTGACCAGTCTATATGCCAGTGTTAAAAGGCTCATAGCCTACATTTTTCTTATATTTAGTTTTTTCTAGCAATCAACTTATGTGATGTACCAAAAACAGTCATAATTTATAGTTACATGATCATTTTCCAGATTGTATTTATTCTCTTTTATAGAATTAAACAGGCTGTTTTCTTACTGTACCTTCAAGTTATATATGTGAATCACCTTTACTTCTGATTGGCTGCCCTGTGTTACACCTCATTCTAAAAGCAGCCTGGGCTAAAACACTCCTTATAATTTTAGCATGAATGGGTGGGGCTAAACTGCTGTAGGCTGAGAAGCCGGATTTATATAAAAGCATCGCGAAAACAGTAACTTTTAAATATGCAGATTTTTCCATTTAGTTTACAGAAATACACTGCATGTGACTGAGGTCTGAACATTATGCTTTGAAACTTCAACAAAATTTACATACATCAAATTCTTTTATGTCAGAAAAGTGAGGAAAATTAGCTTTTCCATGATCGTAGTTGTTGATAGGCACATTCTGATTCTGAGAAAATACAAGCAGCAGGGATAAAATGCATAAAAGCTCATTAATAAATATGATATATTAAATGAAGCGTTGTATTAGATTGACGACAGTGACCAAACGCATTGCTTTCCTGGCTTAATCTGTTGGGGGATCTCTCAGTTCCGAGAAGTCAGCATCTCTTAATTGGTAACGCTCTTAATCAGCACCGCTGTTGATTGCTTATGCGTTTGGTTAACTGGTGCTGTATCTTTTCAGAAATGTTTCTTATTAGGGTGGGGTTGTATTAAATGGAATGATAGGCGGTGGCTAGGCTCAAGTGTCAGGAATGGGTTGATATGGCGGAGCGGCTTTTTAATCTATAACGTGTCCTGCCGCATGATATGCAAAATAAATTATGAAGAAAAAAAATTATCTTCAGAATGACCTTGCTGGCTGGAGGGTTTGATATTTTCCTCTGTGCTTAAAATTCCTGATATGCAAATGGCCATCACAGTAATCCCTTCTAGCTGCCTGACTGTCGCTCTGGCCTCCTGCTCTCTCTCTCTCTCTCTCTCTCTCTCTCTCTCTCTCTCTCACTCTCTGGGTAGAACTAGAGACCCTGAACTAAACTAGCTGAGCATTCAACACTTGTGCCAGACCAGCAAGCCACCACGCACCCCACCCCTACACACACAAACACACACTGAAGCACACACACATACTTCTTTATCCACACCAGCTTTTCAAATTACGGCAATAAAACATCATAATGTGACGATAATAATGATTATTCTTATTTACTCTGCGTGGTGGGGTTTTATCATATTTAATTATAGCGGATCGAGGGAAGCAGTATATGCATATTATCAATGGCATTTAAATGCTGATAATTTATTTGGGGGAGCTGGAGGTGGCATTGATGAGTGGGCTGGAGGCGGGCTGATAGGTGGTGAGGTGCGGGCCAGGTTTGCCACTGTCAGCAGAGACGCAGGCAAATCTGCATAGGCCTCCTGAAGAGTCCTGAGCTCCGGCAAATTAAAAACATATCAGCACAGTGCAGAGAGAGCGAGGGGAGGAGGGGGAGAGAGGGGTAGAAAAGGAGTGAAAAAAGGAGAGTGGGGAAAGCAACGCCTAGCAAATGAAAATCCTGAAACCGAATTTGAAGCCAAGCACATTGGTCAGTTGGTGCTATATAATGACTTTTCATTGTAAATTTATAATGAGTATTTTTCCGCCTTTTTCTAATCTCTCACAGTGCAAAAAAGGAAATATTTGTTTATGGGAAAACATCAGGTAGACGAGCCGGCCAATCATTTGCAGCTGGACCACATAAGCTCCTCTGTAGAATCCCACAGAGGCTTGTAGGGCAGGGAGTAAAGGTATTCTTTATGGGTTAGGGGTGCACGGTCCGAATCAGCCAAGATCAGATTTGAACGTTTTTGCTCAAAACAACAGTCAACAGTTGATCAATTTGCTGTTTGGTTTTGGCCAATCTGTTTTGCAATTTTAAGATGTAAATATAATGTAAACAACGCACTGTATCTGAATGCTGTTGCTACACCTACACCTTTTTTTTTGTTAAAATGTTTATTT